CGCCTCCTCAGCAGCGCTAAGGATGTCCGACTGCAGCTTAGGCCTGCTCCCCGCTGGCAAGTGGACATCGCTCAAGGGCTCCCAGGATGGCAGAGGGATGTCTGACTACCAGCTTAGGCCCAATCCCGCGGGTAACGGGCCTAAAGCCAGCAGGTGGTCATCCCCCTAGGGGTCCCAGACTGTGAGAGGGCACAGGCCAGGCTTAGGGAACCCCCCCACAAGTACACAAATTTTTGTGCACCGGGCCTCTAGTCCTATATAATAAAAGCCCAGGGACAGAACGGTGGAAAAACCAGAATGACTGGTCAACCAGCCGCTATAACGCACACTGACCACCAGGGGTCAGATGCTCAACGCAATGTGCCACTTGGCTTATCAGGATGAGCAGTGCTCCCACAGTGGGCCAATCCCCACCAGTGCACGAATCCCATGCACTGGGCCTCTAGTAAGGAAGGAAAACTACAGACCAATATCTCTCATAAACATAGAGCAAAAATCCTTAACAAAATATCAGGTATTTGCCTACTGTTCTCTCCGATCTTGAGGCAATGGTTTGCCCTGTATCCTCCCTCTCTGGTGGATCCAAGAGTTGCTGATTTTTCAGTCTGTTCAGATTCTTTCTTGAGAGGATGAAATGACAACCTTCAAGATTCTTTCATGAAGAACTAGAACTTGGCTGTCATTTAAGAATTGGGTAACCTCAGACAAGTTAAACTCTTTGTGTCTCAGTTTCATCTATAAAATGGTCATAGGATTGTGGTAAGGATTAAATGACTTGCCATTTTGACAAATGTTACTTTAAACACACACACACACACACACACCCCTCTACTCTTTGGAAAAGAAACAGCTCTCTGGAGCATTCAGGAGAAAACCCTACTGCCATTTGCCATGCAGATTCTCAGGCTACGCCACATGAGAGAGAAAACTGTAGGGCCAGTGTACTGTAAATACCGTCATTCTCTAAAACCCTATGGAAAATTGATGTTTGCCTGAATGGTTCTGGGTCAGATTACAGCCTCACCCAAGGTTGGCTACTATGGTTACTCTCAGGTCATTGCACAAATACCCTGAGGGTTTTTTCCTCATAGAAAGGTGTCCCCAGGTTTGCCTATACCTGTTCCCCAGCATGACGAAGGAATTCAGACACTAGAGCATTTTCAAGTTACTTGTGCACTTTCAGTCTTAAATAACTCAGGCGTAAGTGATGGAAATAATGGTAGCTACTGCTTAGTCCAGTGATGGCGAATCTATGACACACATGTCAGAGGTGACACACGAACTCATTGTTTTTGGTTGATTTTTCTTTGTTAGATGGTATTTAAATATATAAAATAAATACCAAAAATATGTCTTTGTTTTACTATGGTTTCAAATATCAAAAAATTTCTATATGTAACACGGCACCAGAGTTAAGTTAGGGTTTTTCAAAATGCTGACACGCCGAGCTCAAAAGGTTCGCCATCACTGGTCTAGTCATTGCTTGCTAAGGCAAATACCATTTCAGGTGCTTTATAAGTATTTTACCCATTCAATCCTCACCCAACTCCAAGACATAAATACTATCTTCACCATTTTACATTTGAGTCAACTGTAGTACGATTAAGTTAGGGGACTTTGCCAGGGACATATATTTTCTAGATGGTGGGCTGGGATACAGACCCTGAGAGCTTGGTGCTGGCTCCAGAGCCTACACTCTTAGCTGCTATACTCTACTGCCCCCTTAGAGGCACAACCCATAACTCTCGAGGATTAGGGATTAGGAGAACTGCCTTGTACCATATGTACTAGTTTTGCTTCAGATCCTACAATACAGAAAATAACTATTAAATCACTACCAAAGAAAATATATGATGAGAGGCAGTTGCAGTTACTTACTAAGGCACGTAATGTTTCAAAAGTGATTAACCACTCTAATCTCCAGCTTTCTGGTTTTAATAACCCCCAGTTTTCTGGGTATAAAAGTTGCGGAAAATAAATGAGAAATGAATCTGTGACTGTGTAACACTGTGCCTGGCATGGAGTATGCAGCCCATAAATATCTGTAGTGTCTTATTGTTATTGATTTTTGTAACAATGGATTAGCAGAACTGAAAATAGTTTAAGGATAAATTTCATTTAAAACTGGTTTCTACCATACTTATAATGGAAGCTGTTATAACACAAAAGTTTATATCTCATGAAAAACCCTACAGATGTCTTTCATTATTTTGATATGCCATTCTGCTAATGGAAATACTCGTTTAATATACATTTAGACACATGGAAGAAATCACCACATTTGATATTTCTAACATAATAACATGGGTGTGTAATATTTGAAAAACAAAAACAAAAAACTTCTTTTAGTCCTCTGCTTAAGTGGGCCATTGAAATCCACTTATGCAGAACACAACAGAATCTTTTATTTTCTTCTTAGCCCACATTAAAAAAATGTGAGTATCAAAACAGGAAACTTCTCAAGGGAAACAGAAGCAATACATACAAAGATGAAGTTAAACTGCTTGTGAACATTCACACTGAATTCTGTCCCAGTGTCTTAAACAATGAATGAGCATCAGCAAAGTTCAAAATTTGCCTTGATTCAAATATGGAGTTAGAGTGGCTGTGATTTAAAAAGCCTCATTGAAAAAAAATAAAATAAAAAAATAAAAAGCCTCATTGTCTTCATCTCATGTATTTTAGGGGAAAAAAATATAAGGTGTACTTACCACGGAATTATCTTTTTCAGATTTGTTTGTTTTTATATCTGGGATGTTTTTCTCAAAAAATTCTAGAAACCACTTTTTGGATTTTGACCAGTTTCTAGGCGAGAGAAAAAATGTGTATAAATTAATTTGAAAGCACTTTAGAATAGGTCACAGTATGAAATGGGGGGATGTCTATAGAATTATAATTATTTCTCCAAATTTTTCATCTTCAGCTAGAATTTCATGATAGGTCTACCCTCAGACGTATTAGTCCATAAGGAAAATTGTAAGGGACAACTTTAGTGTTTTTTACAGATATATGTTTGAATTCCTACAGGATTGGCACTGAACAAGAAAACAGAACTCAGAGTAAAATACTTTTACTCTGGCTGTTGTCACTTACAGAAGAATGAAAAGCTAGCACAGGGACACATTGCTGTCTTAAACCAGCTAAAGCAAACTGGCTATGTTGTGTTTTTTTAATCTTTCTGACCATTGACCTCTGTAAACCAACTGCCAAGAGATAAAAAAAAGTCATGAGTTACTCTGTATTCAAGCCATTTTATAAATATTTATCTGAGCCACTTTGAGAAATGCATTTAACCACACCTACTTTTGCCTCAGAGAGAATGAGGACGACAATGTCTGATTCTGAGACTAGTCACACTGGACAGTTTAACACAGGTCCAAACTGTAGCAATGAGTGTGACTATAAACTGTAAATGGGATAAGCCTCAAATAAATTCTTCACTTCATTCTAATATTCACATTCATATTCATATTTCCTCTTCCTTCCTCTCTCTCGCCCTCTCCTTCCCTTTCAAGGATCTGCTCCTCGAAATTAAAAAAGAAACCATGCATAGATCTTCTGTTCCTTCTTCAAACACAAGCCAGTCATAAAAACCAGTTCCCTCTTCCACTCAACTGTTATATCTATGCTGAACACAGAAATGAGAGACGTATGAATTGCTGGGAGGAGCTTGGTCAATGAATTAATTATAGGAAACAACTTCTACCTTAGAAGATATTCTGGCATCTGGGACCCATGTTCAAAACCTTCATCATAAGTTTGAAAATGCTGGTAGAACTCCATGATTTTCCTCTTGTTTGTGGGAAACAAACCTTTTTTAAAGAGCGTATTCACACTGACTGGATAAAGGAGATGCCTATAAAAAGAGAAGCATGTAAAAAGTCAGACCCAACGACCAGGCGAATATAAAGTCAGGATACAAAAGAGGGCATTATTTAATAGCTATATATAAGGAGTAGAAAATAATACATGATAGATTTTTTGGGGGAAAGCTACCCTTAACAGGTTTTAATATTTGGATATTGTCAAGATGACTCAGGGGTGTTTGGCTGGTGTGTCTCAGGGGTTGAGCGTCGACCCATGAACCAGGAGGTCAAGGCTCAATTCCCAGTCAGGGCACATGCTGGGGCTTGGGGCTTGATCCCTAGTAGGAGGTGTGCAGGAGGCAGCTGATCAATGATTCTCTCTCATTACTGATGTTTCTATATCTCTTTCCTTCTCCCTTTCTCTATCTAAAATCAACAAAAACATTACATAAAAAGATGACAAGGGTAATTGAAATTGTAGTCTTATTTATCTGAAGATTTTAAAATGCTTTCTAAGCAAGCATTCTTAGATTCTGACAAATGTTAGATGCACAAAAATAAATTGATTCAATGCAATTTTAAAAATCATTTATCTAACAAATTATATCTAAGATATAGTCCATGCCGTTAGATAACAGCAAAAAATAATCAAAGAATCAAGGGAAATATTAGTCACCAAATTTCCTAATGTCTACAGGATCCTACAAATGTGAACTATTCTATATTGAAATATAGTACGTATCATTAAGTTTTACCATAAGTGAATAAAATTATTACTGTGGCATACTTAAGTAAAAGAATATCAATGATAGTTAATATGCCCTAGATTGGTAACACTGAGTACTGTTAATTTCATTTTTATTTATTTTCTCCAAAGTTTCAAAGATAGCTGAGAATTTGCTGTTTTGTTGTATGTTTGGGGCATGCCAAAAGTTTGGTTGGTTGGTTGTCTTTGTTCTTTTTTTTTCTCTCTTTCTAACCACTAACAAAACATTGAGTGTTGTTCTGTTTTATGAGTCTGAACTATTGAATCCCGCCTTCAGCATCCCAGTATCCCACTGAGATGGAAAAGCGCCCAAGGTAACTTCAATTTCCCACATCTCCTTGTGCACATGGGAAATTTCTCTCCTGGTTCCCATGCCCAGACCTTCCATTTGCCAGAAAGCTTCAGAATGTGGCTGACGTGCTGCCTGGTTCCTCCACTGCCCTTTCCTATCTCATCTGCCTTTCAGCACCTCCCCTCCAGGAGGCATCTGGGGTGAGGCCTCTGTTGACTTTGCCTCAGTCAACTTTTCATGTCTCACACCATCTCCTGGACCCTCTACGTCAGTGGTTCCCAACCATTGTCTGGCCCTACCCCACCTAAGCATCTCTAAAATCCTGATGTCCCCCGCACTGGGACATATGATTCTTATTCAAAAAGTAAACTCCTATTCCTGTGGAGGAAGCCTAAAAGGCCATTAACTTCCAAAAAACATGGCATCCATGAAAGAGAAAAATAAAAGAACAAAAAAGACAGCTGAAGTACTGAGGAAGAAATCACTAAGAAATTGTTTAAAAATAATAACATGAAATGATATGAAAAAAATAGCAAAGTTTCAAAACATATAATGGAGAACTGAAATGCATAAACATGTCACAATATATATTTATATACCATATGAAGCACCTAGAACCAAAAGAAATGCAAAAAATTCACTGTTAATAACTCATTCTCGAATTGCCCCCCTTAAAAACCAAATTGCCCCCCTGTGGGCGTGTGCCCCACGTTGGGAAACACTGCTCTACTTGATGATTCTATCCTCTCCCTTGTCCTTCCAATATCCATTTGTTATAATAATCACAAGTTGCACTGAATTTTTTATCAAAAATCTGATGGATGCATGCCAATTGTAAGAGGTAAGTCCACACAGAGCATACACAATTGTATGGAATGACTAAGGAGAAATTGCTGTGCGTGTATTAAAATGTGTTGACTTAGCTGCTCACCATAAAAGTGGACTACTCAACTGAAACCTGCCCATTAATTAGGATTTAAAATATTAACATAATCTCTTAATTGCCTAGTTAGGTAGACTTTATTAATCCACTGGATAGTTTCTGAAGTCCAATGTATAGGCTTAAAATGTTTTATTCCAAAAAAACCAAGATGAACTCATACCATTCGTCTATTTACCTTACTAAGATGTTCAGATCCCTTGTCCCATGAGTGCCTAAGTTCTCCAGTTGTTCCTGTAATTCTTCAGTTAGTCGTCCAGTGAATTGGCAAAGGTTGAAAGTCCCCATTTTTCCTTTCATCAGGATATAAAGTTTTTCATGGAGTGTTAAAAAGACATTCTTTGGAATTGATGCTATAAACAAGAAAACTATTTTTAAAAGAAGCAACAACTCCTTGAAGCAGTCAATATACTCCTATTATTTGATCAGTAGAGAATATAGCCCAAGTTCACCAAAAACATAAAATAACCTCCTGGGAATAAAACCAGGTAAAGATTCAACCTATATTGTAAGATAGTAAAAGTCTGTAGGGTAATTTACTCTAAGGTATAATCTATAAGTGGGCCTCTGGGAAACACAACTCTAGTGATGCTATTTTCATGCTTAAACCTTTCATTGGCTTTCTACCAACTTTTGGGCTCTCTGGTGATATTTCCCCCTCCAAATCTACATTTCAGGTATATTGAAAACACACAGTTTTATATAGCCCAGCATTTTCATGAGCTGTTCTATCTGCTCAGAACATTCTCTACTTGACCAACCTCACTCACTCCCAACCCCATGCCTACAAGACCTAAGTTTCCCCTGCTAATTTCTATTCCTCTTTCAAGCATCTTCTTGAATATTACTCCACCAGAAGTCCTTTCCTCACCCCATGAATTGCTTTGGCCCCACTATTTCCTTTATATTAGCGTTCATGCTCCTTCCACAATACTCACTCCTGGTGTGGTTGAGGTGGTGAGAGTATAAGTAAGTGTTTTTAACTCACTACTCCTTCATATTTTTCTTTAATCTTATTTTATTTTCTTCAAAGTAACCTTTTCAAAAAATAATTTTTAATTTTGTATTTCATCATCCTATTATGTATAGGTTACATTTTATATAGGTAATTTAAAAATAATTTTTAGATACCCTGAAGCATTCATCTTCTCTGTGGTAGGGGAATACATAAGAGGAAATTGGAAGAAAGTAAATATTAACAGACTTCATCTATTAAATAAAAATATTTAAACATGAAAGCCACCAGGAAGGGAGGGACAGGTATAAAAACTTGATCACTTTCATGTATCTGACAGGTGAATAGGTTGGTATATATTTCTGAAGGATATGTGGCCTTATAGATCAAGAAATTTCAAAATATTTATATTCTTTGATCTGAAATTCCATAGTCCAAATACCAAAAAGTATACTAAATACTCATACAATTTAAACATGTGATTTTCATAAAAGCAAGATGAAAAAATAATCATTCTGTTGGTCACTGAGAGCTTTTAAAACCAACTTTTTGGTTTTAATGGCAAAAAAAAAATGCATGAGAGGTTACATGAAAAAGAACCTAAGAAAGAAGCAAAGAGAAAAAAGCTGTAGTCAGTAGAGGCAAGCACAGACACTGTGAAAACAAAGGCGCAAAGTGAATCAGATGCAAAATGAACCAGCCCTGCATCCCTGGGAGGACAAATGGGCTCAGCATGCACCTGCGTGACCTGGGGAGAAACAGAGGAGACCGTGACCCTGCGGACACACTAACCAGTGCAATCCAGAGGTCACCGAGGACAGAGAGAAAGGGCACCACTTACCTTAATAGCCCTATGGATTATGTCAGGAAATGCCGTTAGTAAAGGGCTTAGTAAGCAGTGGAATTCTACTTTCAGGGAGCAGAGCAGTAAGATGTGATCAAGCCAAGAGTTACAGCCTGAAGAGCACTGTATGCGCAGTAGCAGAACAGTTAGCCTCATCTTGGGAGCTGTAACAGGATACAGATTCCAAATATTTTCCAGAAAAAACACCAGTGAGGTAACCTCATCTCTTTCACGTGTCTAATTGAGATCTAACTGTATTAGGCCGCCGATACTTTGTTTTTCAATGACCAAACTCATTATATACTCTTTTCTCCTTCTACCCTTACTCTAAACAATAAAATAATGGAGCCTCATCATTCTTGATATAGGAATGAGGATGTCACTGTTACCTAAAACTACTTGTGGATTCCAACGTTATATTTCACATGAACTGAGAATATTCTTTACCTGTACGATAGACGGGATCTTGCACTGCAAATTCAAAATTTACTTCTTTGGATTTTAGAAACACATCAATGCCCTCTTCTTCAGTAACAAAGGTCATTCGAATTCCCATAGCAAAGACTGTAAATATTGGTCCATACTGAAAAACACACATAAATACAGATCATATTAGTAAGCATTTCTGATAATTAAGTTACTGGGCCATGGGTTAGGTTTAAGACACAGTATGCCTCAAGAACCCCAATGCTGAAGTTAGAGTCAATAATTACCATTATTATATGGTAATTAATTCTAAATTTTGACTGATTTGGCCAATGCTATATTATATAAACCCTAATTTATTCTGTCCTAATACTTAACCTCCCTTCTGATCATGTCATTACTTAGCTGCATCTTCCTTTCTTGAAGTGCCAAATAACAATTAGAAATAATTATTAGAAATTTTACTAAATACTGTACTATTTGAACATTGTTTTCAAGATTCAGTAAGTTATAAGTAACCTACACCTCAACTTTGTTCAAGAAAAATATACAAAATTGTTGACTGTTTTTAATATAAATTCATGGTCACTCAATAATGTCTTGCAATCCTAAAAAGTTCTCTAACGTGTTCACTTTCTCACTTTCCAAAATGACTATTTTACCTGTACAACTTGCCCAACCTTCTCCGCTGTGAGGTAGGATTCCTGCTTTGTGTGTCGCCGGGAATGTAGAAGCAATCAAGTAAGAGCACTCTCAACTTCCTACCACCAAATCCTGCAAAGTTTACCCATGTGCCCCATTCTTCAAACTTCCCTCTGGTGAACAAAGGTGGAAGGTGAAATGCCAACATCCCTTCCATGCTCTCATATCTTCTTTTTGCTCTACATTTCTTCCTCTCTCTCCTACATCCTCAGTTTTGCCCTTGCTATCAGATCATTCCAAGTAGCCTACATACTCTAGTGAGGGGTTTGATTCCAGGAAGTCCTTTATTGGGGGCCAGGGGTGGGGGATATATCATTATTTTCATTTCCCCTGTGGCCACAGTGACTGTACCATACTTCATCCAACATTTCCCATTGTTAGAACAACCACCCTTACTTTTATCTCTGAATACCATTTATGCTTATTACTACTTCAATATTAGTCATTTCTAGACCTGCCATGAAAAGACACGTGATACGCTGTTGAACACTATCAGGCAACTGAGGGCTTGATAATCATGGAGCCACCAAACAGTGAAGTCTCATTTGTCTCATTTTCTTTCACTCGTGATCCATATGTTAGCAGGTGTTAGACTGGTGGAGTCAGACTGGACCTTGGTGCAACAACCTGGAGTTCTGGCTAAGAAAGAATTCAGAGCCAAGAAAAACTATAAGAGAGTTTATTTAGAAATTCACAGAGGTAGAAGAAGGGATCCATAGAAGAAATGGGCTCAGTACAATGTGCCTGAGGGAATGGGTCAGGGAAAGGCATGGGCATGCTCCATAGAGAGAGCCCCTTGGGGTCCTGGTCTAGAGGGAATTTATCTGGAGGTCTCAGGGGAGGATCCCAATAGAACAATCATCAGCTTCCCACCACTGTATCCAATTGTGGTTTCCACGGATTGGCTGGTGCCAAGGCAGGGTAATTAGTCAATGCAGCTGGTCCCAAGGTCAGCCTCGGGGTCCCTTGTCTGGTTTGGCTGCTTTTCTGGGCCTGGAGCTAAAACACAACTGAGGCCTCTGGAGCTAAAACACAACTGAGGCCTAGATGTAATTGATTTGGATCAGAACCTCGTTGTCCTCAATGCATAAAAGCTATTCTCTGGACCCTTTGTTCATAACCCCTCTAAGGGGTCTAACCCACATGACTAACAACATGCTAGGGCAGAAAAGATCAGAGGAGGGTCCCAACCACATGACCAGAGATATGAAAAGTCAGAGGGGTCTTACCACATGACCATAATATGCTAGGGAGGAAAGGTTACCCTGGGGGCAAGGTCCTTGTTTCCTCAGGTTTGCCCATTGCTAAGCACCCGAGGCTTTCCACCCTGTTGACCTTCTGTAACCTGGCCCGTCCTCCTTGCTCTGCTCTTGTCTAACTGCCTACAACACTGGCATCTACACTCCTTTCCAAAATCCCCTCTCTACAATTGTTTGCTAGTCAATACTTAGAAGATGAGTGATTCTCCTTGTTTGTTAAAGCTTTGTCCAAAAGAGAATTCTTAAATTTCCATTAGAAATGTGTCCTTTTGCAACACATATTGGCACCCAGGCCACGGGGTAGAACAGCCAAGTTCAAACACACTGAGTAGTTAAGATAACTGCTGACAAGTAATATTTAAAGTAACTTATTGCAAAATGACTGCACAGTGCAAATGTCCATGTTCGGTGTTAGAAACTCAATGAGGTTTTTCTGTCTTATTTGCTTCCCTTCTGTTCTTGCTTTTGTGCAATGTCAGCACTCTGAGTATTGTGAAGTAAAGGCAAGCGTATGCAGTACGTGTAGTTGTGATGCTTGTATTTTTTTACTAAACTTTGTATTTTGAGATAATGTAGACTAACATGCAGGTGTAAGAAATAACCATCACTCTGCTTCTCCTAGTGTTAACACCTTTCAAAGTGATAGTACAGTATCATAACCAAGCTACTGACATTGATAAAGTCAAGAAAATATGTCCCTTTTATAGCCACACCCATTTCCCTCCCACACCCGACTCCTCCTTAACCCTTGGCAGCTACTAATCTGCTCTCTATTTCTAATAGAGTACTGAATTTTAACAATGTTATAGAAATAGAATCATACAGTATGGGGACCTTTGGGATTGTCTTTTTTTTCACATGGCATAATTCAACTGAGAACCATCCACATTGGTGTATGCATCAGTAGTTCATTCCTTTATATTTTGAGTAGAATTCCATGGTATGAATGTACCACAGTTTGTTTAAACATTGTTTAAAAATGTCTGTGTTCCAGCAAAAGAAACCATCAACAAAACAACAAGAAAACCCACTGTGTGGGAAAACATATTTGCCAATGTCATATCTGATAAGGGCCTAATCTCCAAAATTTATAGGGAACTCACACAACTTAACAAAAGGAAGATATACAATCTATTCTGAAAATACCAATGGACATAAGACACTGGGGGATGGGGGAGGCTAGGGGACTGTCTTGGGTGGGGGGAAAAATGGATATATATTTAGTATACTTTGTAATAAATAATAAAATTAAAAAAAATAAAAATAAAAATAAAAATGTCTGTGTTCTTTTCAGTTTCAGACCATTGCAAACAAAGTAGCTATAAACATTCATGCACAGGTTTTTGTGTGAACATAAGTTTTCATTTCTCAAGGATAAGTTCCCAGAATATGAACCAGCATTTCCATCAGCAATTTTACCATCTTACATTTTGTATTTCCACCAGCAATGATGAATGACCCAGCTTCTCTGTAGCGTTTGGGTGTTGTCCTTGTTTTTTATTTAGCCATTCTGATAGGTGTCTCATGATATTCCATTGTGGTTTTAATTTACATATCCCTAATTGCTAATGATGTTGAACATTTTTCCATGTGCTCATTTGCCATCTGTATATCCTCTTCAGTAAACTGCTTGTTCTTGACATTTGCCCATTTTTAAATTGGATGGTTGTGTTTTTGCTTTAATCTGGAATGTTGAGCATTCTTTGTATATTCTAGATACTAGTCCTTTGTTAGATATGTGGCTAGCAAATATTTTCTTTCAGCCTATAGATTGATTTTCATCCTCTTAACTGGGGACTTTCATGCTAAATATTCCTCTTTAACAAACGAAATATGTTAATATTTACTTTTGAGCTAGCTTCCTATGTCCTCTCATGTATTCCCCTGCCACAGAGAAGATGAATGCTCCAGGGCATCTAAAATTATTTTTAATTCACCTATGTAAAATGTAACCTATACATAATAGGAGGATGAAGTACAAAATTAAAAATTATTTTTTGAAAAAGTTACTTTGAAGAAAATAAAACAGGATTAAAGGAAAATAAAAAAGCATAATAGGTTAAAAAAAATACACTCTCACTACCTCAACCCAAACAGGACTGTTTATTGTAGAAGGAGCATAAACACTAATATAAAGGAAATAGTGGGGCCAAAGCTATTCATGGGATTAGGAAACTAGACATGTTTATGCCTTTAGAATATAAATCTATTTGAAAAAAAACACACACCACTATATTTTAAAGAAGAAGACGAACTTGTAATTTTGACAGCAACATTGTGGCAACTTCTTTCTGAATTTCTCCACTTCTTTCCTGGAAACTACACAAAGCCAAAAGGAGAAAGAAACAAACATACCCACAAGCAACAAACTCAGCTAAACAATAAGAAGAAAATCTATAAACTACAAAAGCCACCACACCTGAAACCAGCAGAATTGGCAGTGGAAGCTCTAACAGTATAGCGGGGAGAAATGAGCAATGTCCAGAGAGTCCAATACTGAAAAGCTTAGAAGTATACACTCCGGGCTAGGAGAAGGCAAAACTCAGAGCTAGAACCACTTGGAGAGGGGCTAAAATAAGCAGGCCGTGGATATTGAGGGAACTAGCAAAGGATCACACAGAAGCTATTCAGAGGGTTCCAGAAGCAGCATCTTCTAAGTGTGAAGAGGCACCTGAAAAGACAAGAGTCCTGTCTCTTAGTAGCAGCAGCTATGGGAGAAAGGCAGTGAGAGTTCAAGTGTGGAAGGGTAGGTCTCGAAAGGCAGGAGCCATAGATCATGCATGCGAGGAGGCGCTATGGTTTCACTGTAGCAAGAGAGGATAGAAAACTTAAGCTGAGAAACTTGGAAAGCAACTACTTCTAACCAAAACCTCTTGTTGACAGCTAGTCAAAGACAACTCAACTCTTTAAAATATGGTTAAACAAAAGTGAAAAATTCAGCACTATAAGAAAGAAAAGAATACCCTGATAAAGAAACCCACTGAGAGGATTTTGCTAAAGAGTACATGAGAATTGAAATGCAAAATTACTGTTGTGATTTATAAAAATTAATCTAATAATTGTAGTTGCAAAGAAAATAAAGCAGGAATATAAAGAAACTATGGGAAAAAATAGCCAGACAAAAGAGGAAAGTTAGCAAATAAAGGAACTCAGGAAAGAAAGACACAATAAGAACATTTCTGAATAAAAGAAAACAATTATATGTGAGGCTATACACCCCACACAAAAAGGTCTAAGGAAAAGAGAGTATAGAAATGTGAGAAATGCAAAATAGAAAATAGAAATAAAGGTGAAAACGATTGCAAGGGAATGACAGCATGGGAGACAGGCCAAGGAGATTAAACCGATGCATAATTGGACCTCTTTCCCAAACTCCAAATTCATTTATCCAACTGCTTATCTCAACATCTCCACTTGGATGTCAAAATCCCAAACTTCTACAGATCTAAAGCTGAACTTTCCTTCCAATGAGTTCCTGCAATCTTGTCCATTTCATTTGATGGCAATCTACTGTCTAGTTTCTCAAGCGAAACGTCTTGGAGTCACCTTTGCCTCTTTGATTCTCTTACACACCACATTCAATAACCAATAAATCTTGTTTCCACCTTCAAAATATACCCAGCTGTTTCTCAAACTGCCACTGCTATCACCATGGCCCAAATCACCATGACCTTCAGCTTGAAATATTGCAATAACCTTCAAATTATTTTCCTTCTTTTATCCTTAGGTCCTTGTTTTTAACAGAGCTGCCAAAGTGACCCTTTAAAATTTAAATCAGATCATATTACTCCTCTGCTCAAAACACTCAAAAGTTTTCCTACTTCACTCTAAATTACAAATATATTTACACTTTCAATCTGATAATTTATAGATATACTATACACACAGAAATGACATTTATTGCTACATTATTTATAATAGCAAAATATGAGGGGAAAAACTTGTCCATCATTAAGTGACTGTTTAAGTGAACTATGTTTCAGAACAT